GCGACGAGAGCGACCCCCCGCCCGACAACGACGCTGAGGACCAGGAGCACCAGCTGACCAACGCCAAGACCGTGGAGGAGGTCGCGGACATCGAGCCCCTGCTGCGGCTCGGCCTCTCCAAGAAATCGCTGAAACGTATGGCGCGGGCCTATGGTGTCCTCAAATTCGAGACCATGCGCACCCACATGCTGGGAGGCCCGGGGCCCATCCTGGAAAAGAAGGAGGGCATGGTGAGGGGCGCAGAGGCGCAGGACGGGGTCCAGAAGTGGCCCGCCGCGTTGAATGCGGAGGCAGAGGATGATGTGGGAAGGCCGAAGAAGGGCCTCCTGGAAGCCTCGGGGGTCGCGGACGCACACCTGGGACACAAACGTGCCTGGAAGGAGGAGTGCCAGGGCAACGCCATGGCGCAGGAGGCCTACCGACGGATGGGCGACTACACGGACCAGCTCTACCGTGGCAAGGGTCTCACGTTCAACATGTACTACAAGTGCTCGGCCAACAAGACCTGGCACAATCCCAAGGGATGCTGCTCGGTGGTCCGCTCGGATCGCTGGACGCAGCTGCTCACCTGCGCGCAGGAGGCGGCGGGGGAGACGGGCCAGCGCTGGCGCTGCCAGTGTGGCGCGCGCTACGCGACCTCCTACGGCGTCTGCGTCGAGATGATAGAGGAAGAGCAGAACCCGCCTCGTGCGTACTACATGCACGCGGACTTCCCCGAAGAGGACATCCGCGACTTGAAGGCCCTGCTGCGCTACGACAAGCTCAAGAAGGAGGGGGTAGCGGTGCTCAGCGCTGTGGACCTCCTGAAGCACCTGCCCAAGGTCGAGCCGCTGGCGGTGGGCACTGTCTTCAAGCGCTACGCTCCGCAGCAGCCGCAGTGGGAGGGCCACTGCGTGCTAATGAAGGGGCTCTCCTGGGACAGCCTGCCCGAGTTCAAGTGGACCGACCTGCACTCGCAGGTCGCCTGGGGGCTGAACGATCCAGAGTGGGCGGGCTACACCAAGAAGCAGCGGAATAAGGCCAAGAGGCAGCGCCTGGCGACTGCGCACGAGGAACTGGCGCTCTACGAACGTCGCCACAACCTTCGGGAGGGCAGCCTCACGGGTGGCGGGGGTGGCACCGGGGTCGCCCGGCGTGCCACCCCCGTCCGCACCGCCAGCGCCCCATCCAGTTGGCGTGGCCCGCGGCAGCCAGGACCCGCCACCACCGCCTGCTGGGGCCCCGCCAGCGGCCATCATGGCCCCGCCGCCGCCGCCGCTGACGGCGCCCCCTGTGGTGCCGCCGCCGCCGACGGACCCGCTCCCGCAGCAGATCCCTAATGTTGCCGCCCTGAACGTGGCCCTCGGCGAGGATCTCGAGCGCCAGATCTTTGGGCCCTCAAGGCAGGCGGGCGGCAGTGGCGACCTCGGGGGAGAAGTGCAAGCGCTGCCGTCGCAGGTCTTTGCAGCCATTGCGCAAGGAGCAGGTCAGTCCGCCGGAATGAGGAAACTCTGCAGGCCCACAGCATCGAATACTTCTAAGCCCTCGGGGTGGCCACGTGAGTCCATGTTAAGATCCCGAGCCTGCCACTCTCAACGGTGCTGAACCTGTAGGTTTGCTTACGCCCCAGCTTTAGCAACGCCGCCTTGCCAGCGAGCGCGGGTATGCCCACAGTGGTGCCCCCCTCGCGCCGCGGCTCCTGTTGCTTAAGCCTCCGCTCTTCGCACGGTCATCTGTGCGCCTAGCCACTCTGGCTCGCCGATTGGCTTGCCATCCTGGCCTCCTCTCACGCCTACTTGCGCTCGTAGGCCTCGCTGGCGGTGCTGGGGTCGCCCCGTGTGCCGCCGCGACGCCGCTGGGCGCCTAGCCATTTTGGCTTGCCATCCTGGCCTCTTCTAGCGCCTACTTGCGCTAGTTGGCCTCGATGGCGGTACTGGGGTCGCCCCGTGTGCTGCTGTGCCGCCGCAGTCGCTTTACTTTGGGCCGTAGGGACCAGCTGCCCTCGGATAAGCGCCCGCCGCTGCATGCACGTCAGACCCGCCTTTTCACCCAGAAGAGGTGCTCGCTACATACTGGAAATGAGGCAGCCACAAGGACGCTCTTCCCAAGGCGGTTGAGCCGTGGTGATGTGGTGCACGGGACCGAGTAGTAGTAGTAGTAGTAGTAGTAGTAGTAGTAGTAGTAGTAGTAGTAGTAGTAGTAGTAGTAGTAGTAGTAGTAGTAGTAGTAGTAGTAGTAGTAGTAGTAGTAGTAGTAGTAGTAGTAGTAGTAGTAGTAGTAGTAGTAGTAGTAGTAGTAGTAGTAGTAGTAGTAGTAGTAGTAGTAGTAGTAGTAGTAGTAGTAGTAGTAGTAGTAGTAGTAGTAGTAAGTAGTAGTCGTAGCAGTCGTAGTCTGAGTCGAAGTAGTAGTCGCAGCAGTAGCCGCAGTAGTAGTAGTAGCACTCGTAATAGTAGTGGTAGTGGTAGTGGTAGTGGTAGTGGTAGTAGTAGTAGTAGTAGTAGTAGTAGTAGTAGTAGTCGTCGTCGTAGTCGTCGTCGTCGTCGTCGTCGTCGTCGTCGTCGTCGTCGTCGTCGTCGTGTCGACACTGGATGACGACAAAGACGGCGATAGCGTCAACTGGCCCCTGAGACCCGTGTCAGCATCTGGCCCCTGGAAGCCTGTTTCGGACCTCAAGGCGTCACGGGTGGAATCGAGCCTGAGGCTAAAACGCACAATGAGAAAGCGGTGGTCGACGCTCCCCCCAGGCGGTGCGGCGCGCGCCAGAAGGCGATGACGTCCTCCTCCAGGCGATGACGTCACCTGGCCTCTGGAGGCGCGTTTCTGGCCTCAGCAGAAGTTCCTCCGAAGCTCTTGAGAGGCTCTTCACAAACTCATCATAAGCTCTTCAGAAGCTCCCTCTTTAGAGGCTATTCAGAAGTTCTTCAGAAGCTCATCGTGAGCTCTTCAGGAGTCTCTCCAGCTCTTCAGAAGCTCTTCAGAGGCTCTTCAGAAGCGGTTCAGAGGATCTTCAAAAGCTCATCGGAGGCTCTTCAGAAGCGATTCAGAAGCGCTTCAGCGCTTCAGGAACGCTTCAGACGCGCTTCAAAAGCGCTTCAGAAGCTCAGCAGAAGCTGATCAGAGGCTCTTTAGAAGCTCGTCAGAAGCTCTCCGGAAACTCTTCAGAGGCTCTTCAGGTCAGCAGAGGCTCTTCAGAGGCGCTTCAGAAGCGCTTCAGAGGCGCTTCGGAGGCGCTTCAGAGCCGCTTCAGAGGCGCGTCAGAAGCGCTTCAGAAGCTCATCAGAGGAGCTTCCGAGGTTTTTCAGAGGCGCTTCAGAGGCTCTTCAGAAGTTGTAAGGTGTCCGTCTTGTAGAATTCATATCGGAATCAAACACGTTGCGATCGGTCCCTGCTCGGTGGTTGTATTCCGCCCGAGATAGCTCGTGAACGGTCGGCTGTAATCAGCCTCATTCCCCCCTTTCCCTCCTGGCGAGGACAGGAGGGCCACGACGAGGGAGGACGGGAAAGCGGAGAAGGAGCAGGAGGACGAATAACGCAGCGATTTCCGATCCGTGTCTGCGCACCGCCACAAGGAGGAGAACGACGACGGCAACGACGACGGAGGAGGGAGGAGCGAACGAGCGAGCGGAGCGGCGCCCGTGCCTGATGGGAGGGCAGACCGTGCGTGCCCGTGCCCGCTGGGGCCAGAATCGCGAGGGAAGCCGCAGCCCCAGGCCGCCCGGGGGCGTCCAAGAGGGGGGGCCAAGAGGGGGAGGGGGGCGCAAAATCATGGCCGGCGGCACGTGCGCGGCCCAGGGGGGGGGAGACGTGCTGGAATAAGAAGAGGCGCCATGAAATCTTGGGAGATCTCATGGCCCCGCCATCCATCATCCATGACATTCCCCCCCCCAGTCATCACCCCGCAGCCTCATGCCGCGTGCGGGCAGGGGTCGTGGATGGTTGCAGGCGCGTGCAAGGGGGTGGCGCCAGGGGGGGGCTTCTCAGAAGGCAGCGCGCCTCTCAGAAGGCAGGGGCATTCTTAGAGTGGCCTGGAGGCTTCCAAGAAAGCTTCATCGATTTTTGGGCCTCCGCAAATCTGGAGCGTTGGTTCGAAACTTCCGCGATCGCACAACCCTCGGGCCAACACATGAGCATCAGCCGAAGGTGGGCTCATGCTCGGTGGCGCTTGGGTTCATTTCAGCCACCCGTGGGGCAGCGAAACCCATTCGCCACTTCCGCCACCAGCAGAGCTCACAGGATGGCAGACGACGCAGACCGAAAGAAATGCGGCTTCTAGGAAAGCCCCTGCGTTCTCAGAACCCCCCGTCTTCTTAGAAGGCCGCCCCCCGTGCCCTACCCCTTGTGTGCGCCGCCGAGATGGGCAGCTCCAGAGCCTGCATGAGCAGAAATCATGGGCGGGGCGGTGCACGAGCTGGCACAGACAGAAGGCACGGGAAATGAGGCAGAGATCTGGCTCGACGGCAATCAGGCCTCGTAAGGCTGTGGCGCCTGCTCCAACGGCAACCCGACCACGAGAAGGGGCGTGGCGCCTGCTACGGCGCCGCTGGACGCCTTCCTGCTGAAGAGCTGCACGCGCAAGACCAGGGCGCCCGCCACGCGAAACACGCGCCAGGGCCCCCTGCCGCTCAAGTCGAGCCCTGACTTCGTCCAGGAACACGTCGAGGAACGAGGAGGGAGAGCTGCGGCTTGCTACACTGCCAGTCGCGGACAGGGCCAGCACAGTCAGACGCCTGGCGCTCAGACACCGACCGCGGCGGCCGCGGCGTGAAGCACGGGTGGTGGCGGGCGACCCCCAGAGCAAGGCTTCCATCGGGCGGACGCTGCCGCGGACTACGGATGCGTGGATCTGGCGTGTGAGCGCCAGAACCACGGCTTGGGGAAGGTGCCCTCGACACATGCGGCCAGGACCGCATGATTTGGCGACGGAGCGCGCCGATTATGCACGAAGGCGGGGCCCGTCGCCAACTCACACGCCTCAGTCCGTGTCTGCGCTTCTTCCACTCCGGCGGACGCAGCGGGAACTCCTGCAGGGAGAGCTCCTGGGAGTGGTCCACGTCCAGGGCGATGAACACCTCTGCGGGCGGTGCGGGCGTGAGGTGGGAGGGGCGGAGGAGGGCAGGAGGAGGATGACTCCTCTCTCTGTCCTCCTCCACCCTCCGTCTGCCCTCCTCCTCCTAGGGGTGGAGGAGGGGAAGAGGAAAGAGGACGGTAGAAAGAGTAGACGGAGGACAGAGAAGAGGCAAAGGTGAGGAGAAAGAGGGAGAATATTCTGTGTTCCGCGGACGTGCGGTGACGGTGCCAGCCGAGGGAGGGCCGGGGGAGGAAGGACGACTGACGTAGGAGAGGATTGGGGGGGGGTCCTCCTCCCCGTCCCTCGTCGGTTACTCCCCTCCTCCTCCTCCTCCACCTCCACCTCATCATCATCATCCATCATCATCATCTCATCATCATCATCATCATCATCATCATCATCATCATCATCATCATCAATCATCATCATCATCATCATCATCGTCATGATCATGATCATGATCATGATCATGATCATGATCATGATCATGATCATATCATCATCATCATCATCATCATCATCGTCATCATCATCATCATCATCATCACATCATCATCAGCATCAGCATCAGCATCAGCATCAGCAGCATCAGCATCAGCATCAGCATCAGCATCAGCATCAGCATCAGCATCAGCATCAGCATCAGCATCAGCATCATCATCATCATCATCATCATCATCATCATCATCATCATCATCATCATCTCTCTTCTTCTCGTATTATTCCCCCTCCTCTACTTCCTCCTCCTCCTCCTCCTCCTCCTCCCCTCCTCCTCCTCCTCCTCCTCCAACTCCTCCTCCTCCCCTCCTCCTCCTCCTCCTCCTCCTGTTCCTCCTCCTGTTCCTCCTCCTCCGCCTCCTCCTCCTCCAACTCCTCCTCCCCCTCCTCCCCCCATGGCCGCGCGCGCGCTCCGTTCAGAGGGCGGTCCTCTCGGCGGCACGTCGCCAAAGCCTTCGGGCCCCATCCTCGGCCCACCGGGCGGCCGTCTTCGGTGAGTCCACCCAACACATCTCGACGGCCCACGCACCAGGCCCCGGACCAGCGCCCGAACGCCCCCCCGCCCTGCACGATGGCTGGGGCACGCCTGCCGAACGGCCAGCGGCCATCGGCGCAACCTGGCTTTCGCAGAGTGCCGCGCGCGCCTCCGCGACGTGCCATCCTGTCGTTCGTTTTCTGCCGCGCGCAGCGGTCTGGAAACCATCGCAGTCGTCATTTGAAGGGCCACCACGTGGCTCGCGCGGGTGGCTGGCGTTGGCCCAAGGCACTGCCCCTAACAGTTCGCTCTGTGCAACCTCGTCCCTGGCTCCCACAGCGCACCCGCCACCTGCCCCGGCGACCTCCTCGAGGAGAACCCGCGCCTCCTCGACCTTCAACGCGTCATAGCCCAGCCCAGGAGCCGCTGCAGTCGCGCCCCTTGCCCCCGCCAGAGTACGACGACTCCCCCGGTCAGCGCCACGAGCGCGAGGCTGCCGACACGAGCGCCAACAGCCCCTGAACTACCACAACTTGCGCACGCACAGATCCCGCGCACTCGCTTCGAGGTTTGCTCGGGGCGCTCTCGGGCGCATGGCGACGGACGCCGCCTCAATTATTCACTCCGCTCGCGTCTACTCAGCCACGCTCCGCTTGGCGGCGGCGGCCGAACGCCCAACGCACGCCTTCGTGGACAACCTGGGCGGGGCCCCTCCCTGTCGAGTGCGCACGGAAGAGAAGACTTATCCGCGGCACCAAACTTCGCGCATCGTGCCCCACAGTGCGCGCTTATCGCGAGGCCTCCGCGCCGCCGCCCTGGTGAAGGGCGCCTCGCCAGCACTCTTTTTTTCACTCGCGGGCAGAAGGAGCGTGCCTCTGACGTCCACGATCCCGACATCTGCAGCCTCTGTAGCTGCAGGCTTGCAAGAAAAATCGGTTGTTCGAGAACGCATGCGATGGGGTCCAGAACCAAGGGCTGGCCACACTTTGCCTACGCGGCGGAGTTATAGGCCCACTTGCTACCCAATAGACGACACAATACATCAAACCCGCAACGATGTCGCGGCCTACTGATACTTCTGGTGATTGCAATTCTGAGGCAGTGCGCAAGAAGAAAACCGTAGCCCTTTCCTTCCTTGATGTGCTGGTTGAAGATAAATTCACCGTCCAGCTCCCTTCTGAGAGCCAGCCGAACGGCACTCGCGCGCACCCTCTGCATCATGCCCGCGCCCTGGCTAGACTCCGTTCGCCGCCTCCACGTGCGGCCCGGCGCTTCGCCACAACCGACGCGTGCTGCTGATGGCCGACCCTCTCGGCCAGCCGCCAGCCTCGCACGAGGTCCCACGGCGCGCCCTTCCCCAGCCCAGCAAGGCGCCACCAGACCGCGATGCCCTCAACGAAGACCCTGGCCTCCGCCTCGGGGTCCACCGCCTGCCAGACACCTGGCGCCAGCCGAACCGAGCCGCCTTCCCCCTCGCGCTCCTCGTCCTCGTCTTGCTGCGCGTGGAGGCCCTTCACGTGAGGCATGGTAAGACATGGGTTCCGCGGCCCAACCAGAAAACCGAAAACGTAAGGCACCCCACTCGCCCCGCAGGTAATGCGGCGAGGCTCCACTAGAGCCGCCGCTAAAAAGAAACTGCCTCAACTTTTCTCCCTTCAACATGAACTTCGAAATTCGGAAACGAAACGCTAGCGCAAGCAGCCTGAATTTCGGTAAACGGGAGCAATGGCTAGGAGGAGGAGGAGGAGGAGGATAAGGATAAGGATAAGGCCCTTGGGGGTCTGTCAACTTCGCCTACCGACAGGCATGCCGACGCCTGGGAGGGAAATGGATGCGAGCCCACCCTTGCTTTGGGGGGGCCGCCTGAGGCGACGGGGCCCGCCCCTCTGGTGGGCGTGGTCCCCGAGCCTCGCTAGCAGGGAGACCCTGCCTCGGTATCGGCCTGTCAACTGCTGCAGGCGGTAGGGAGCTGCCTCACTGGGCGCACCCCCCGCCGCTGAGAGCCCACCCACCTCCGCCCCCCATCCCCCCCCCCCACTCCCCACTCCCCAGACGGCAGAGAGAGGCAAAAAAAAGAAGAAAGGGCGGCCTGGTACATCTCCCTGAAGGCTCTCGGCTAGTATGGATGCATGGCCGCACTGGCCCATGCGGTGAGTGCTTGCAGCCGAGCCCCCGCTGCTGGAGCTGGAGTGGGGGAAAAAAGGGGAGAGCCAGGCCTGGTGCAATCTGCTCTCTACTGCCCTATGCCCCAGCCTGCCGCTGCTGCCGCCCTTGGCGATGAGAGCCTGACGTCCCTGCTCTGAGCGGAGCCGTCGGCCTTAGTGTATGCTGTGGCGGCGGCTGGGGTGCTGGAGCTGGCCTCACTGCACAACACCTTGCCGCGGTTCTCCCAGCCCTCTACGCTCTTGCTCGGGCTGGTGCACGGCGGCCTGCGAGCTGGCTGGAGGTAGTCCTTGATCTCCTTCTGCGGCTCCACCACCGTCTCCGTCTGCGTGTCGAAGGAGGCCTCGTCGTAGGCGTAGCCGTGCGGGCCCTTGCTCCAGCGCGTGTAAATGTGGTCGATCTCGTCGACCTGGCGCCTCGTGTAGTCCAGCTCCCATGGCATCGGGCCGTGCATCATTTTGCCAAGCTTGTCATCGGTGATGCCGATGGTGCTTCTCACCGAACTGATGGCGCAGTTGATGTCATGGAGCTGCTCCTTGAGGTAGTGCTTCGCTTGGCTACGCTCTGCTTCTTCATGTGGAGTGAGGCTCCTTGCGTTCATGCGGCCTAAGGTGGTCACCACCTTCTCTCGCTGCTTGTGGAGCGCGTGGAGAGCCTTCTCGCTGTGCTCGGTCGCCACCTTGAACGCGACGGCGGTGCTCTGGAGTGTGTTGTGCGCGATCTCCAGCCTGTACGCCGCCGTGCCCACGACTTGATCCGCTGCTCCTCCCGAGCCTCCTCTGTCGTGCGGCTTCTGCACTATCGTTGGCTGCAGAAGCTCGGCTTCGTCTGCAGCTGGCTGCTGCGCCATCTCCCCCTTCTCCGAGTGCGCCTGCGCCGCCATCGCAGCTCTGGTCGTGCGCCCTCGGGGCGCAGGCTCTGAACGTGGGCGGAGTATCCGCCAGCAATGGATAGAGAGGCCGCGAAGATGCTCGAGTCGCAAATGTCCTCTGGTAGTATGTCGAGCTGTGTACTGATCCTCGTTTACCTTAGTGGTTCCAGCCTGCTGTTGTAAACCTTAGATATTGTAGTAGTTTCCTTAGTTCCCAGTAGTTGGGCCGTAAGGAACCGTAGTAGGACCTTGGTGTGAGAGTAGGCGTAGGCTCGGTCGCTCGCTGCAGTCGGAATCCTGTGCCTGTCCTTAGTGTGCAATTCTTACTCACTCTATCCTCTGGAGGTCGAGAAAGTTAACAGCTGTGATAACTAAAGCGGACGAAGGCTGGATGTATCTGAGCGGGAGAGGAGAGGTCGAACCGTGGTCGGATCACAATCGCATGGCTGTGCTGGATGTTGTGGTGTGGTAGTTCCCTGTGTATGCTGTCATAGTACGCGGTGTGCACCCTGTAGCATGTACTGTCGTTCTGTATACTGTCCGGTACGAGGTCGCAGATACGTCGGCTCCGAGCGTGCATCCGCGATACTGCATGACAGACGAGCCCCAACTGCGACTGGAACTAGTAGAGAGCTGATTGCCTGAGAAAGAGATGGTAGGTTGGAAGTGGGAGTTGGTGGGAGGAGGGGGCGTAGGTGGTGGGAGCCCGTGTAATGGTAGGGTGACGGCTGAATAACTAGAAGGTCCGCCGTCCCCCTCATTTTTTTGCCATAGGCTGGTAATAGTCCCTTGGTCGTAAGTCCCGATAGTATGTAGCCATCCGATATAGGTAGGCCATCTGGCCTCCGTGTTGTTCGGCCTGGCCCCTGAGACTCGTCATACGAACAAGGTCTGCACTAATCTGCTGTGCATTTTTTCCTCTCGGCTCACTGGCGGCGATGATGGTGGCCAGGCACGAGGGCGCCCCGTGGAGTTGAGGCGTGGCTCGACGGCG